TTGGGAAAATTAGAAAATGTTAAATGAGTCTGTATAGTCTGGATAACTTTTGTAAAAATAAGTTTGAAACAGATTGAATATATATATGTATATGTATATTGAACTATATAGTGCTATAATACCGCCGATATTGACTATTATTATTTCCTCTGCAACGGCTGACAATGATTTAAAGTTACGAGGATATTTTATTGTACTCTGATCTTTCAATAATGCAAAATAAATAAGAAATAATAAAAATAAAATACGAGTAAAATTATGAATAATAAATTACGAAATTACAAGAAAATTGTACAGCAGATTATAGACAAATCCATGGCAGATATCGTGATATATATGGATAATGGATGATGGTACGGCAAGGTGTCAAGCCGAACCCAAATGCTGAAGCCGCAGACATTAATTCATTGTCGATCTGTTGTTAAGCACAACACATCTCCGCTATCGGCGTATCCCTCTTGCGTGCCTCTTCCAATGCCCCGTTACGAATCGTCAAGCACATGGCCAATTTCGATTTCGAAACTGCGTCGCGGCTTCAGTTTGTTCCAGTGTTTTTTCTGTTTTTTTTTTTTGGTTCTTAACGATATGCGACAATTTTTGACCCCAAGAGACCAAAAATGCGAGTACAGCAAAGCGGAGGAAAGCCGAGCCACAAATTGAAACTGAAAGAGAGAGGGAGCAGAGCAGAGTGAGCGCGAGAGAGAGAGGGAGAGAGAGAGCCACACACAGCTGCACGCATTACGCCACAACAAATTTATTTGGATTGGGGTTGGGTCAAAATTTAAATATTTCAACGCCAATAGCAAAAGCAGCAAGCAACAAGCAACAAGCAACAATAACAACGTCAACTGATTTTTCGCGTTTCGGGCTCGTTTTGCTTGATTTGCTCGAACGGTTCTCAATCGTTTACTCGAATCGCCCCCCCCCCCCCCTTCGATTCCCCCTTCAGCTACAAATGGATTTGTTGCCCATCTTTTCTACTTCCTCCGCTGCTGGCAACAAATGTTGCGCCTGCGTCGATTGCTTCATCAACACAACAAAAATATTGGTTGGAAATTTGTTTTCAACTTGGTCTTGATATGGTCTACCCTCCCCTTGCTCTACGCTTCCCCACGCTCTTCTTCTTGCTTGAGATATTGACACAAAACACATTCCCCATTTATACATTTATTTTATTGCCTGATTGAATTGAGCTGAGTTGACTTGGGTTGGTTTTTTGGGTTGGGTTTGGGTTTGGGTTTTGGTTTGGGTTATTTGGCTGGCTTCAATGAGGGTTCGCTTTCGGGCTTATCGGAAATCCATAGAACCGGCAAAACGGCAACAGTTACGATCGTTATATACATGTACATGTATATCCCCACCTCTACCACAAAATTCCCCTGTTTCAACTGTTGTTTCGTACCATCTTCGTGTTTCTGACCTGTGTCAATATTTATTGGCTTTATTTACAGCCCAGAGCCACTTTTGGTATTTGCATTGAATTTTGTGATTAATTTGCCCGATAAGCAAACGACTGAGGAATAATATAAATAGTTCTGGCATTTCCGATATATTGCCGATATCCTCACCACATTTCAAAACATTTACCAATTTGTATTTATTTATTTAAAGCCATTCAATACATAAATAAAAAAGTATAAAATGTAAAAAATAGAATGAATTCAATTAATAATAAAATTAAATATTACACTTAAATTACAAAAAAAAAAAAAAAAAAATAGAAATATCAATAAGATTTATTCGATTTTTATGGGTATTTAAATACAAAATGGATCAACGCTTGGATTAAGAAAAACCCAGCAGAACCCGATCAGACCAACAAAAATAGTTGGTATAAATTAGTTATAATAATAGGATATATAATTTAAGTTCACTAAAAAATAAATGCCTTGAGAATATATTGTTAATTCCAAAATATCTAAATCAAGTTGGTTGTCTTCTTACTTTTTATTCTTCATTTTTTTGAACACATTTTGAGGTTAAATTTCCCTTTCTAGAAAAAATCAATTCCTGAATAATGAATATCCAATATGTTTTGGAAATACTATTTTTCTCTGCATAAAATTTAAATCTATGGAATTTTCCGCATTTTCCTCAGCACATTAAGGTAGCTTAACACGCTTTAGCAGTCTAAAAAAATGTTAATTTCTCGATTGATTTTCCGATTCGAAATGTATTCAACAAATAGAATAGAAATGTATTTGAAATATTTATGTTGAGCAATCTTGATCTTAGATCAGTGTGCCTATTCTTTGCTACTTTTATTTTTTGTTGTAAGCCGTCAATCATCAACTGTCTCATTCCCTTTGCCTTTGTCGCTTAGCTAATCTGCATACTGTCTCCTCATTTCCAAACCAAATTCATCAATCTCTCTCTCTCTCAGCTGATCTTCGTCCACCCCTCCGCCAACACTAGAATCGCTTGAAAAATGCCACCAAAACGCATTTATGGCTGCTCAATTAACGGCGCAAAGAGAACAGAAAAACGCAAAGTCAAACACAAAAAAAAAAAAAAAACCGAAGAAAAAAATTCATCTCGCACATACGAAAATTTAATCAGCAGTAGAGAAAACGAATTCCGCTTGCATGACTTTTAATTTGGCTTGAAAACAAATGCCAAAAGAGGAAACAAGAATAGAATGATATGGAGGAGGCGCAAGACGTAAAAGAAGATAAATAACAGAGTAAAGACTGCAACGGAAACGGCAGCTCCCCGCAAGAGGAGAAGGAGGAGGAGTAGGAAGAGGAGGAGTGGGAGGGGTGTTTTCTGTTTTGTTCTCCTTATTTTTGCCAGAAATGATCATGACAAAATTTGTGCGGGCACGTTGTTGTTATTGCTGTTGTTGTTGTTGTTGCTGCTGCCCCCTTGTGCCCTGTCCCTGGGTATGGGGCCGAGCCGAGGGCCAGAATACACAGAATACATTAATTGACACTTGGCCGGAAATAGTTCATTAGGCATAAATTACATACAGACAAAAGCATTCTTCTTTCTCTCTCTCTTTCTCACTCTCATATTTTTTTTCGCCAGTTGTCGATTATATTTACTAGATTTGAGCGGCTTAAATGCCACGGCAACGTTGTTGTTATCTCATAAAAAAGAACGTTGCAAGACACAAATGTTCGGCATTAACATTAACAAGAGAAGTTGACACACACAGAGAGAGACAGAGTTAGAGAGAGAGAGAGAGAGAGGGAGAACTATTGGTGCCTCTTATTCTCCGCTCACTTTAGGCTCAACATGTGTGCTCCAAATGTTTATTTTTGTAAATTTTTACAAGAGCCTGCTGAACTACGACAGCGGCTGCGACGGCGACGGCGACTGCGACACAAGCGAAACAAGCCAACAAAGCACAGACGTTAAAGCGAAACAGCAGCAAATGTAAAACACAAAGTGGGCATATTAATAAATTCAACTAAAACGCAATTGAACGCGACCTCAGCGAACAGAGGCAGTGCCAGTGGCAGTGGACGCGGCAGAGACGCCAACGCCAGCGTCAACGAACCAAACTAAGAAGAGAAAATCATCAATATTAAGCGGGCTCAAATCTGCTGCGCACCCCCAACACTCCCCTCTCACTCAATCACACAGTCAGAAACGCACTCATTCCCCTCTGCAGAAACTGCAGCAGCGAGCAACGAAATGGAAAAGAAATAAGTGCAACAATTGTCGAAAAAAAGGGAGTGGGGAAGTGGGAGGGAGAGAGAGAGAGCAAGAGTAGCTGAGTCTGAGCCGCTAGCTGAGCTACAAAGTAGCCGATTAATGAACGCTATCGGAATAAAAAAGGGCAGCAATGGCGAGTATGCAAAATACGCTACACGTAGGAATTTAAAATAATCATTTATATTCGTATATCATTGAAATTGTTCTTATGGATTTTTTTTAAGGTATTCAATTAATATACAATATTTTGAGATATATGTTAATTAAAATATTATAATAAATTATTAATTAATTAAAAACATTTTTGCTCAGTCATGATATTGTAAAATAAAAATAAATATTAATGACAAATTCGCACATAAAATATTAAACATATAAAGAAGTAATGAATTCATTCCATCTATGACTATTCGCTAATTATATTTTGTTACGTTACTTTGCACTTTGCAAAAGCGCTAGACTCAATCGTAGGGTATCGCTTAAGGAACATCAGCAGTTGCCCATCACACAACCAAAACAAAACGCGAAGTGGAAGCAATGACGACTACTGAAAAACGTCAGCGATACAAACGCGTCAACGGATTTTTGTGTTACACACATTTTCAGTTCTTCAATTGTTGTGTATGTGTATGTGTATGTGTGTGTGAGTGACGTTCTCGTCTCAGTTTCTGCTCTGCTTTTTTTGCGCTCATTCTTTTGCTCGCTTTTACTTTCGGTTGTTGCAATTAAACGCCGTTTTTCCGTCTGAACGCCAGCCACAGCCGTGGCGAGAGAGCCGAGCCGAGCCGAGCAGAGACGAGCCGAGCCAATGGCCCGGACTGCTCTTTGCGCTCAATGTGTGCGCATCGTACTATCGTTCGTTGCTGCGACGGCGGCGCAGGCGTCGATAACGGTAATACCGCCGCGCATACACACGTTGTGAATTGGCCCAGGCAGCGATGAGCAGAGCAAAACACATTGAGAGAGTGACAGGCAGAGAGAGAGAGAGACTGACAGAGAGAGAGTGCGCGCATGTTGAGCGCGCGTGATTTTTGTGGCTCTTTCGCCTGCGCCTGGGTCTTTGTTTGGCCCATGTATGTGTGTGTGCGTGTGTGTGTGTGAGTCGTGTTTGTGTTTTCATACTCTAACAGACAGCATGCTAGTTCTGCTGTCTCGTCTGCAGTCACGAGAAGAATACTTTGTCTGGCAAGTCCTTGAGGGTATTTAGTGTGCGGCTTTTGTCGCATTGAGCGTTTCTTGTAGGTTTTGGCTTCGCTTCGAAAATGCGGGCCTGCTGCTAACAGCGCGGCTGACGTCGTTGCTATTGCCGTTGCCGTTGTCGCGTCGGCCGTCACTGCTCGCAGTGGTTGTTATAATTTTTTTTTTTTGGTTTTGGTTTTTAGTTGCTGGTTAAACTTGGTCGTGAGAGGGTAGCAGCCCCCGTCGTTAGCAGTTGCCACCCAAAAAGAAAACAACCGATGATCGCGCCAAAAGCAATTGCAATTTGTTAATGTGAATCTGAATGTGAATGTGAAAAGTGAACTTTTGGGTCGAGTGACAAAAAACTGAACACTGGCCAACAACAAAAACAACAATAATAATAATAACAACAACTAGAAGAAGAACAAGAACACCAGCAACATTAATCAACAAATATTGCAACATATTCTAATGGCGCCCGTCGCCGTTGCCGCCACAACGGCCAACTCGCCGAGCACAACGAATTCGCTGCAGGACATGAGCGCCGCTGCTGCTGCCATCGCCCTGGACATGAAGCCCAAAGTCGAATTGATCGCGACGCCCCCGCAGAAGATCAAAAAGCGTGCGTACAACAACAACAACAACAAAATCAATCCTTAAACAACAACGTATTTTTTATATTTGTTTTCATTTTTTTTTATCTATCTTACAGTGGTGCGTCGCAATGCCTCCGACAAGCTGAAGCTCATCCAGATGGTGCACGATAATCCCATTTTGTGGGACTCACGGCTGCCCAACTTCAAGGGCGCCGAGGAGGAGAAGAATCGCGCCTGGGAGCACATCGGCAGGGAGTTCAATGCGCCCGGTCGCCGTGTGGCACGTGCCTTCAAATCGCTCCGCGAATCCTATCGGCGGGAGCTGGGCCATGTGAAGCAAGTCAGTGGATTCAAGCCAAAGTGGAACCTGTATGAGGCCATGGACTTCCTCAGGGATGTTATCCGCGAGAGAAAGTGAGTACAAAACAAATCACTCAATTAACCCCAAAGTGTTTTTTTTACATTGTTTACGATTCTCCCCCACAAATTGAGATTATCATAATTAGGCTGGTCCCAAAAAAAAAAAAAAAAAAAGTTTTACTTTTAACACTTGATCAAGTAATTTTTTAAAATATTTTTTCGTTCGTATTCGATCTTTCCTAACAGAGGTGATAATAATAAGTCTGGTCCCAGAGAATTGTAGTTGAATCAATTTAAAGATTCTGATTTTCTTTATATATATAAACTGATTAATAATTTTTTGTGGTTAAGTAATTTTTAGATCTTATGAGGGGTAAAATTATTATAATTATTTATTATTATTATTTATAATAGAAAATTGAGCAGTTTATTCAGACTATTTTTATATAAAATAGAATTACAACTCTGATAACTCATTATTTGACTAAACTTTAATATATCTTTTAGGGATATATTTTTATTCCAATTGTGCTCACTTTCAGCTTTAAATCTGTAAGTGAAAAATTATTGCATTTCCAGACATTGTTATTATGGGCTAATTAGAATCACCCCTGAAACCCCAAACGACTGTTCTATTTTTATTTGGGGCTATCGGAATTTGTTGTTGTGGTTCAGCCCAATTGAAATTTGGTCGCAATGGATGCCATCCGAACTGGTTTAATGAATAATATAACCTAGAAACGAATCTGAAAACCTTGTTCGCAATACATTTGTCTTATCGGAGAGGAGCTCAGCTTACACCCACCTGAATAAAAATGTGGCCACTTTCCAATCATTCATTCATTGTCTCTCTCGCTGTCTGTCTTTTTTTGACTACTATTACAAGAGGAGTAGAGGTGTGAGTGTGACAGAGAGAGGGAGAGAGAGCAATAAGTGTCAGAAAACAAAAGTCCAAGCAGCAAATACAAATCGTTATAATCAGAATCACAAACGGAGCCGTAGCCGGTGGATGAGTAGGTGGAGGAGGGGGGAGAGAAGGGTGCAAAGATCGGCCTCAAAGTATGAATAACGGTTCTTTCTTTTAGCTTTGTTTGCTTTGTGTGCGTTTCTGTTGTGGCTTTTCAGTCGAATCACACAATTTTAACCCTTAACCATTAACTATTTTCATTGGCTTCGAATCACGCTCAATTTCGATGACAAAAGACAAGCTTTTTTTTTTTTAATATATGCAATTCTCAGTACTTTATTTTAGCTTGTCTTTCGCTTACTTTTTTGTTGTTGTTATTTTTGTTTTGATTTGTATTTTTTGTTGCGTGTCAGTGCAAAGAGCAAATTAGCCATTTACAATTCTAGCCAAAGAACGTTTCCTTTGCCACGTTTGCCCAGCTGATGACGATGATGACTCAATCGATCTTGTTTTGAAATTGAAATGATGGCGCGCACTTATAATATTCTTATTGTCGACCGCACCATATATATATGTATATATATATATATATATATATATATATATATATATGTGTGTGTGTGTGTAGAATATTCTTATTGTTGTTGTGCAGTGAAGTGAGACATGGCATCTCTAAGACGACGATTCATTTTGTGGGTTTGTTGTGGTTGGTAAATCTAAGGAATTCTATGTTGCCCAGTTTAGAAATATTTTTTATGACTGCTGATTGTTGCAAATCATCAGCAATTGTTGTCAACTGATTAAGTCGAAAGTTGATCAGGTTTCATCTTTTTGCATTACATTTGCCAAAAAATGTACTTTATTTTATTTATATTTATTAATAAAAGTGCTGCATCGTTTTGTCTGCTTTTTGCTAGTATTATTGTTATATATTATATATATGTTGACAATTTAATTAAATTGAAATATTACCACTTGGGTAATCCATGTTTTTAACAAGAAAAGATAAGCTTTCACATTAAATGTTTTTATTTCTTACCAATCTAACGAATTCTAACGATTTAATATTCCAGATTCAAAATGTTGTTGGTTTTGTTTTGTTTGAAACCTTATCAGACTTATAGAGTCTTAGTTAATCAACGGATGTGATTAGTAATTGACTGCCGCTTAGTATGAGTCATACGTGAAAAGTACATTTTGTTGAGAGTAGACGTGATTTTGAATTACTCTTTGCTTTCGAGTCCTTTGCTTTGTTATCGCCAGTTGTTGCATCGCTCGGCAATTTGCATTGAGGGGGCAGCCCACCAGCAGCAGCAGCAGCGGCATGTTGAGTGAGTGAATACCAGACAAAAATCTCAGCTAAGCCTCTGTAAAAACATCTGCCCAACACACACACATACACATATATGTATATATATATATATATATATATATATAGCATATGCATATGTAAAATATGCGAGTACGCGTTGCAAAAGTCTCGAAACCGTTGGACGGAAAAAACCAATTCGAACAAAGAAATGACCAGGCTCAGGGCAATGGGGCTCGTCGGTACTTTTATATATATATTTTTTGTGATTCTGCGATGTGTTGGAGCAACAGCAACCCCCTACACCCCTGCACCCCTGCGTCGCTCTATGTGTGTGTTGTACTTTATATGAAATAAGGCCATTTCCTTTCAATTGACTGTACCCACATCGGCAGCAGCAGCAGCAGCAGCAGCAGCAACAAATAAGCAAGAGCTGAGCTGAGGCAACACAGTCTCGACAGTTGAATGCGGCCCCGGGTCTACACATGCCCGCACACACACACACACACACACACACACACATACACACATATATACATACACATATTTAAATTTTTTTTATTATTATTTTGAGCTGATAACAGACAACGGACCGGGCCCGAGACAGCGGCTTGAGCCATAAAAACAGATCTCGTCCAGAGCGAAAAATTATACAACGTGGTTGTTGTTGTTGCTGTTGCTGATGTTGTTGTTGTTGTTGCTGATGTTGTTGTTGTTGCTGTTGTTGTTGTCGGCATCGCCACTTGAACCAAAAACAAAATCGAGGGAAGCTGCAAAAACCAACAAAATGCTTTAGCCTTAGCCTGATGGTGGTTGGCAGAGCGAGAGAGAGCGAATGCAGCGATAGAGAGAGACAGAGAGAGAGAGCGTGCTTGTATAATGAGCGCAAGAGTGGGCAGCAAAGACAGAGAGAGCGAGAAAGAGAGAGTGATAAATTAACGCAATGAGAGTCGGCAGCAACAAATATGAAAATGACAATCAGCAAAGCGAGCAGCGACGAGCGCTGAGCGCTGAGCGATTGCGGCGTCGACTGTGTGGACCAAGTTTAGAAAAAGACGAAGCGTAGATTACAAAAACAGCAACAACAGCAACAACTACAGCAATACAAATTTGCTCGGCGCGAGTGAGTGAGTGAGCGAGCGAGAGAGAGAGAGACAAAGAGAGTGAGTGAGTGAGTGCGCATGTGTGTGTGTGTGTGTGCGTGTACTCTATGGGTGAGCAATTGAGGCAGGCGATGCCAAAACAAACCCGACCAGGCAGGGTTAAAAATATGCGCGACCAGACCAGTCAACGGGGTTGCATGCCGCCTGCTGATGACCAGGGTCTGTGTATGTGTGTGTGTATGTGTGTGTGTGTGTGTGTGTTCGTGCTCGGTTCTGTGTCACGCTTATGATTTAATAAGCAAATGAGCTCAAAAATTGATGAAATTGTGGTTGTGCGAGGCACCTCTACCACCTCCCCCCTGCCCCCCCACTTTGCCAGTGAATCGCTTGACCAGCCGCGCCCCAACAAAATATATCTGAAATACTTGATACAAAATCTCAGAGGGGCAGTTCGGGTCGCGATTGTCATGAAAAGTGTGTGTTTTTTTTCTCTCTCTTTTCTTATTTTATTTTATTGAATTTTTTTTTTTTTTTTTTTGCATATGCGTCAGTTGTGGCCCCAACACAAAATACTGGGCGTATACCCAATTTGCGCAATAGGTCGCGTCCACATTTCGTAAATGTTATTAAAAATAATATTTACTGCGCTCAAATAATTGACACTTTTGTGTATTTAATTTTTCGTAATTTACGACTCTCGCCCAACATACAATTTGAGGGTGTAGCTCTTGAATATTTGATTGATCAGTCACAAGTTGTGAAAATAAAGTTACGTTTACTAAAAGTCGCTCTTAATAAACTCTCATTTAAATACGCTACTACACAGAGAAAAAAATGTAATTTGTATATAATATAATATATATAATAATATCATTACTGCCATATAATAAATAATTTATTTTTTATGATCGTTGTGGAAGCTCCAATTAATTCCCTTTTTTTATTATTGTTTTTCAAGCTTAAAGTTTTTCTTGTTAAGTACAATAACCTTTGATATCAATCGAGTCTCAAAACGAACTAATTATTAATATGTTTTATCAATATTATTGATTTTTTAAGTTGATTGATTACGACATATATCAATTATAAAAATCCGAACATAATTTATAAAAATGTAACTTTTACAAATGATGCTTTGATTTTTATAATTCATTTATGTAGTAATAATCATTGTATAAATTGTCTTCCAATATTTTAGCTAAAAGTTGTTATTTAACATTTATTTTTTGAAAATATTTATCTTGAACTTCTCAAAATACTTTACTTTTCCACAAAATTGATATATGAAAAGCTTTTTGCATTTTTTATTATTATTTGATTATGACTTCAGTACGCACTTTCTTATGCGTATTCAAAACTAAACTCGAATTCTTGTCTTTTGTAATTTGGCTTATCAATTCAGCGGAGCGGAAACTTTAAAATCCGTCCGTCAGTCAGTTGTAGTTATGGTTGTAGTTGTAGTTGTAGCTGATAAACCCACAAAACTGGTATTCCTCAAATGAACTGAACTACGCATTAAATAGAAATGCAAACTGTCCATTATTGGGACTGACGGAAGCAAACATTGTTGATAAGCCCAAGTCCCAGAATTGAAGACGAAAATAAATACCAGACCAAAACCCAAACTCAAACTCAAAACAAACCGCAGAAACCACAAGCAAATAGTAAAAAATGCATTTGGCCGTGATTTTATTTAGTTGGTATCAATGTGAACATTTTGAGGAAAAAAAAAAGAAATGAAAGCCGCTCGACTCGCATATCATTTTACAATTCCAATTGTCAACTACCTGCTCCAGGGCAACAAGATTGAGCCTTGTCCTGGCAACGCTGCCTGATTTTTGAACTGGGCTGGGAGAGGGTCGAGCTCTCTCTCTCTCTCGCTCTCTCTCTCTCTGTCTCTGGGTCCCTGGGTCTGTCGCTGGGTCTCTAAAAATAGCCACGTCTATATCTTTGAGGCATTCGGGCAGCTGTGTGGAAAATGCGCTTGAAATTTGAGTAGCGCAGGAAACCAACCAGCCCCTTACTACAATAACCCCGAAACCCCGCACCCCGAGCCCCGAGCCCCTAACCCAGGCAGCCAACAGAAAATAGAGAAGAACACAAAAAAAAAAACACGATGAGTTTTTGGTAGTTTGTGTCGAATTCTGTTGTTGGGGTTTGTCCCGGAGCACGTTCTTCATGGCTGTCATTTGGGGTTGTTGGCGTTTATCTTCATGGTCTGCGCTATTTTTGGAAACAGTTTCCATGCAACATGCAACAACAGGGGGGGAAGCGGGCCAAGGGTACGAATAAGCGTTTAGCAACATTTTACTCCAAGCTGACAACATCATCATCATTGTTAAAGATCATTGAATAGAAATGTTTTGAATAGGCTATGATTCATCTTTGTAGTTCTGATGAAAGAAACGTGCCACAAATTTTATAAATATAAAAATAATAATATATTTTTGTCTAGAACGCCTAGCTTGAAATTACCAATAAACTTTATATGGGAACTGCCAGTTAGAAAAGCTATAAGAAAAAACGGGAAACTGGTCTTAATGTTTTATTATATCATTGATATATATCTATATTAATCAATATATATAATGTATAAATTATTTCAAATTGGACAATCGTATTTAAAATATTGAAAATCGAAATTTCATTTGTAAAATTATAATTTTATCGTTCTCAGATCTTATGAATAATTATGTGAGTAAAGAATGGTAAACTGCTGGCATTTATGGGAATACGCTTTCTATATAACAATCACATAAAAATAGCTGAGTTTTCTTGACATTTTAAATTCAAATGTTTATTTTTCCACAGTTTTTCTTTTACGAACTTGTGTTTAGAGGAACAACTTGTAAAGGCTCTCTTAAATTTGAAATATCCTTGCAGATTAGAGTCTAAATTTCATTATAAGTAAATGATAATTCCAATAATATAAATATAATGTATTTATTTATTGTTTTTGTTGTAAGAATTAAGACATTTCCTTATCTGCGACAGGCAACATCACATTTTTTCCAATATCTCAATGTATTTATGTTGATCCGTGAATCTTTTTTCACAATGCACCACTCCACAATTAGAACACCAAAATATACCCTTAGACTGCAACTCCTGTGCCTAATTGTGTGAATTTTGTTGCCCTTTCGGATAGTAAATCTGAATAATAATATATATGTTGTATCTGCTGGGAGACGTTTTGTTCAATGCACCAAAAATCTAACTACAAAGTATAGTTATAATACATATAAATATAAATCTTATTTTGTACTTTATTTACTATTCTTCAAAAGACCACAAATCGAAATACGAAGTATAGTTATAATATATATAAATATATATCTTATTTTGTACTTTATTTACTCTGTATTCATGCCTCAAAATGTTTCCTAAAATTAATACAAATTATTTCCTTGCTTCTTTCTTACTCTCTCCTCTCAGGGGCGCTTCACATGCCAGCGATCTCAGCTTGAGCGCCTATGCACAGCACTTGCACAACAACAACAACAACAACAATAGTAATAATAACAACAACAACAACAACAACAATAGCAGCAGCAACAATAACAACAACAACAACAGCTTGCTGAGCGTTAGCAAAGCAGCAGCCTTAAAACTCAGCTCATCGTTCAACGACTCGTCGAGCACCGTGCTGAATCTGTCCAAGTGCTCCTCGCTGAATCTGAGCAGCGATGATTACTATTGCGATTACTATGTGAAGCCGGAGCTGGATCTCTCGAGCGGCGGCGTTGGCGGTGGTGGCAACACTGGCGGCGGCGGCAGCAGCAGCAGCAGCGGTGCCAGCAGCAGCGGCAGCGCCGGCGGCGGCGGAGTGGTTGCCCTTGGCTGCCCAGTGGCCGGCCAGCCGCTGCCCGCCCATCAGCATGCGCTGGCGCTGGCGCAGGCAGCACAGCAGCACAATGATAGCCGTGTGAGTTCCACACGCAACGATAGCAACGCTGGCCACGGATCCCATCAGGCGACGAGCTACGATGATCTGGATGCGAGTTCGTTGCGCAGCGACGGCGACGGCGACGAGGAGGTGGGCAATGCCTCCGATGAGATCGAGGAACTGGAGGCGATCGATGCCGACTTTCCCTATCCCATCATACTCGACTCGAACTCGCCGCGCAGCATCGGTGGCGTCGCCGATGGCGGTGGCCAGTCGTCGACGCTGACGCGCAAGCGTCGCCGCAATGGCGAACTGTCCGATGAGCTGGACATGGATGCGGACATCAATGGCGGTGGGGATGGCGATGATTATGAGGATCAAATGCTCCAGCAGCATCGTCATCTGAGGCAGCAACAGAATGCTGCCGCAGCTGCGGCCGCTGCTGCCGCCGCCGCCGTGGGTGGCATGGAATTGGCGCCGCCCCAAACCGTCCGCGAGGTGCTCAACTCGAAGTTCTGTGGCTTCATCTCGGCCAAGCTGAACAGCATGGAGGATTCGGAGGCGGACAATCTGATGAATCGCATCCTGTTGCTGGTTGTTCAAATGCAGCAGTGCGAGACGCTCAAATAGGTCTAGGAAAATGAGAGAAATGGGATGAGGGGGATGGGCTGTGGGGGATTGGGTGGGGGTGCAGGTTCCGGGTACGTTTAAAGTTTAGTAGTGCTGTAGTCGAAGAGCGCATGGATTATGGATTAATGCCCGCTGCTCAAAGCAACAGAATTCATTTCAACTTGCCATTTATATACGAAAGATAATCATTTAATTTTAAACACTTTTCCAATTTGCCATAAAATTGCTCAACTCACAAAGAAAGCCAAATTTTGTGCCATGCCAAAAAAGAAAAAAAGAAAAAAGAACAATAACAACAAATGTTGTAGTACCAAATGTAGCAACCCCTATGGAAAAATCATATATATATATATATTTTATATAGCTAAACCCAAAAAAACAAAAAACAAAAAACAAAAAAGAAAATACAAACAAAACACAAACTCAAAGAAAAGACACAAACAAACAGCAACAACAAAGACAAAGACAAAGAATATTAGCCATTTATGAGATTTACTTGATTATTATAAACGTTAATTTAGTTCTAAGTCCTGATCTACATACATTTATCTAAACAGACTGTTTCGGCTTTTCAAATCTGTTTTGTTTTTTTTTGGTGTTGCCTTGCTCAAAGGATAAACAATTTCGAAAAACCGCAACAGGTCTATAAATACATATATATATATATATATATATATATATATATATATATATATATATATATTATATCTTAGCCATCGTTTCATCACAACTGCAACTGCAACTCGTAATATTACGTTAATCTCCTTATTTTCTTAAAGTTAGCTCTTAACTCAACTCAAGAGGGCAAAAACCATTTGAAATCTTGCCAATGCAGACAGAATTGTTGCACTCTAATAATTTAAGTTCATTCGAATGTGGCAAATACATATAAAATATATTCTATTTTTAGTTGCTCTTAGTTTAATCACAAACATTTTAAAGCATTTTATGTTTCGTTTGCAAAGCGTTGTAAGTACTACATATGAAAGAAATGTTAAATAAAATACATTTAATATACATTCATCGTTATATTTTCAATATAATTATCTTGTATAAATTATAAATCTTATATATATATATGCCTAGATGATTTTATAATTATTATAGGAATGTTTATAAAAGGTCAAAGAATTAATTTTGTCTAGAAATATGCGAAACTAGTTGAATATTCTCACAGCAGATAAACGTTGACATCTCAAAAGATCTTTAATATCTGACAACTCTATAAAAATTTCACATGGTTTTCTGATTGATAAAAGTATATATATTACTCCTCTTTCAGATAAAAGTCTTCAACAATATTTAATTTTTGTTGGTTACAAATATCTTTTTAGCTGCATACTCCTGTATTTCATTTACAATCTTTTATTTAGAAAGAGATAAATGTTGATATCTTAACAAGATACCCAGAAACTGCATTAAATTTCTAAATAACATTTAATCAACTGCTGATTGATTATGACATTAATCTGTAATGCTTTCTCTGCTAATTATTTTCAAGAATATTAACTCAAAGATTATTATCTGCATACTCCCGTATTTTATTTACAAACCATTAAAATTACTACTGATTGATAATAACACATCATTAATCCTCTACTTGATATACATCGTCAAGAATAATTTATCTCTCTTGTATCTTTTTACATCCTGTATTTCATGCACAATCTCTTATTTATCTTCAACTTCACACAACAAACTGAACTTATCTCAAAATGCCTTACGAAAGACCATTAAACAAGCCAAACTATTAGCATATCTCACACATGTGTACAATACTGGTAGTCCCCTCCCCCCCTCCACGCTTTTGTTGACCCGCTCGTTAGTATGAGATAGAGAGAGAGAGAGAGAGAGAGAGAGAGAGAGAGCACACACACATTTGGCCAGATGTCGGGCAGAAAGACGCAGAGACCATTAATACAGAAGGCGTCATAAAAACCAGTCGAGACAAAAGATAAGCCCAGCAGCGCATGCGCCATGGGACAAGCCTGAGGATGAGCCGAGCGAGCTGTGCGAGCGGAACGAGTGGGGTGAGGGGTAACCAGATGTGGGCATGCCAAAAACGATATAGACCAACTTAGGAAGAGGGCCCTCAGACGCACAGGCGCACTCATGAATGAAACGCATTTAAGGGAAACCTGGGCGAACAATGACATTGAGGCAGAAGCTGAGTCTGCTGCTGCCAAGACTCCGAAAACAACCCTCGAATGCGGTCCATACGATCTGGCCCTTTTTTTTTAGACGCGTACACTACCGACCCGCTACGGTTCGTTCCTCTACCTAGCAGCGACTGCAAAAATGTCGATGTCGAGTTTTAGCTGCGGGCATGCGCGGAAAATTGCCAAAAACGTTGATGCGACTATAAAAACTGGTTCCTTGGCTCTTGGCTATGCTCATTGTTAGCCTTGGTCGAGAGCGCCGCTTAAGGGATGCTGCGCGGATTGGGTTCAATGACCATGGCCAGCATCGCACTGGGGTTAGACCAACAAACTCTCAGCGCATTTGAGTCAATATAGTTTTTGGTCTCATTGCCGATTTGTTGTCGCATTTGCTGAATGCCTGAATTTGGGATCGTGCGACAAGAGATGTCGTATCAGGATTTGGAATGTTGGGGATAAGTGCGAATTCTTTAAAAGTATTTAAAGCCTTTTAAATCTACTTGAAAATATACTTAAATAAAGAACTCTGTCTTATTGGATGTAGCGCAAAGCACAAAATTTCAATTTATCCATTTATTTTGCAAATAAAACATAACTTTTTAAATATTTTGATCCACATATCTTAGCAATAGTTAGAAAAATTAGTAGAAGAGACTCAAATATTTAATCTACTTTTTAATTGTGAAAACTAAACATAAAAAATGATAACTTAAGAAAATTGATATATTTTACATTTATATTTGTTGAAATATGTTTGAATATCGCAGCAACGATTAATACTTAAGTATCGCTATATCGATTAGTATCGAAGATCTGGTCACACATGCATTGTCTTTCTTTCTTTCTGCGTTGTATTTTCCTAAGTTCAAGAGTTGCCCTCAATTCTTCAACAAGTAAAGACGCACACGCGCATAATAAATATAATCCATAATCAGAAACAGCGTTTAACTCTTCATTTTTCTATGCCATTTACAACAATATTATTAGTAGGAAATTGATTATCTAAATTGAGAATGGGATCTATAATTATAAGCATCCAGCTACTATATCATATAGTTATCATTTATTTTTTATTTATATTATTAGTAGGAAATTGATTATCTAAATTGAGAATGGGATCTATAATTCTATAATTATAAGTATCCAACTATCAAATCACACATTTTTCATAGCAATAATCAGTTGGTTTTAATGCAAGAATATATAATCTTTGATACATCTATGATAAGCGATCCGTTCTTTCTGATTTGGCTTATCTTAAGACAAACATAATTATATTTTATGGTATTTATTAATTGACAAGCCATTTAAATATACAAGTCAGACGATGTCAGACTGGGAGGCAAGTATTTAATCCAAAGCCAAACTAAAACACTCTCAAAGTGGATGCAGCGCTGCTCCTGTCATTTGAGAGTGATTTAAGCTAACTTTAGATTATCCTGCTCGCTCATCCTTCCGATTAGCAGTCTGTCGTCTCGTCTCCTGGCTTCGGTTCTTGTGTTGATTTCGAGTCCTCGATTTTATCGCAGCTGTCTCTTTTGTGATTTGCCGAGCGTTCGCGAAGCTTGCAGCTAAAACTTAAACATCGATCATTCTTGGCGAAATTCTGAGCTCCATATTTATTTGGGTAAACTAGGAAACTACTTCGTGTACACTCAGCGAAATTGTTTTGGTGTTGCAGGCCAGAGTAGAGTGGATTTGTTACTTTGTGCAGCATCCTCGCTTTTCGCGTCTCCTTTTTATCCGTCTTACTCTCTTTCTCTCTGAGTTCCGAGCAGGTTGCTCTTTTGCAAAATTGTACATTTTTTAAAGGTGCTTTTTTATCCTGATCAAGATCGTCATTATCTTTATACCGATGCCTACATGTGCCAGTTGTGGAGCACTTTCCTTTGCAAGCTCGTCGCTGGCATATTGTCATCGATTTCGCATTGTCATCGCTTCTAACTTGACGAATCGGATTGGCCCCAATCGGGGAGTGACTGTATTTCCCACTTGGCAATTGCGAGCTTGAGTTGGTTTGATGGTTAGATGGTCCATCTGATTGATAGTGATCGTTTGCAAACACAATTCGTGATCGAATCTTTCGTTTATTCACAACTCGCTCGGTTGACGAGTCCTTCGACTTGCTGTCTCTTCTGGGCACATCCTGATCGTTAACATATTCGGTTTCTTGCAGTTTTCTACCATCATCCTGATTGTATTCGTTTTCCTTATCTCTGTTTGGTTTCATCTTGGATTCTTTAGTTTTTCTATAAATATTCTGATTGTTTTCTGGGGTTTTTCTATAACTATTCTGATTGTTTTCGTGGGTTTTTCTATAACTATTCTGATTGCTTTCTTGGGTTTTTCTATAAATATTGTGATTGCTTTCTTGGGTTTTTCTATTAATATTTTGATTGCTCTCATTATCCATGTTTCTTTTGGGTTTCGGGCTGCCATTCACAATTTGCCTTCGGTTTTGATTCTTAGCAGATTCGGATTGCTGAGTTTTTCTATTAATATTTGGATTTTTTTCGTTTTTCGTATATCCTTTTGGATCCTGGCTTCTGTTTATCGTGGTTTGCCTTCGCTTTTGATTTGATTCTTCAGTTTTTCTACTAACATCCTGATTGCCTCTGCACCTGCTTCTCTCCTGATGAGATGCAACACACTCCGCATAACTTTTTCCAGCACTTGGCTTAGTGGATCTATCGGGACTGTATCTTTTATAGGATGCGGGACTGGAAGGAGACTTGTGCGCTTTTCTGCGCTTCTTCTTGGACTTGGATTTCCTTTTCACCGGGAATGAGGCATCATTGGGAGTCATGTGGCTTGGCCAGGTCTCCGACAGGTAGCCCCGCTCCTGAGGAGTTGGATTGTCATTTTGCTTGGGGATTGCTTCGCGACAAGTGACACATAAATCCATTGTTCTCGCTGGTTCCTGTTGCAGCTGCTGAGGTCGGCGCAGCTGGTAGATGTGCTCGGATTTGGCACTGAAACAGCAATCGCTGACCTCCACCAGATCTCTGAGGCGACCCCTCAGCTGTGAGATGATCTTCTGCTGCTTGATGCGAACATTGCCCAAACTTTGCGAATCATTTAGCAGCGTGGGCAACTCATTGTTGTGCCGATTCTCATCGATGTCCCGGTACGTGATCCTCTCCAGCTCACGGAGCAGACTGATGCGCTCCGAATCCGTGGCGGAGGCAATCTGACGCAATCGAAATTGTATTTTGGCATAGTGCGATGATATGGAGAAGAGTGCCTCCTGCAGCTTCTCCACATCATCCTCCAGCCGGCACTCGTATTCCGTTAGCTTTCGGCTCACCAAGCGACCCCTGGCATTCAGCCAGGTGTATCGTCGCTCCTTTGTGGCCTCTGTGGCAAGGCTCTCCTCGGAGCAATTGCATTCGATCGTTGGCTCTAAATATTTTCCCTTCATTGTTTGCTTAAAAATTCCAAATTGTTTTTAAATGTTGTTTCAGTATTTTTTTTATTGGGGTGTTGCTTTCAGGCCTGTGTTTCTGAACAATTTGTTTGACTGTTAAGCATAGAAATTTTGAAAGTTTCCTAAAAAAAGAACAAATCTCAAATGTCAAAGGAAGTCAAGTCAAAGACAAGTTGAAATCGATTCGGAGTGGGATTCTTGCTACCCTCTCAATGTGGACACTCCTATTGGCTATAAGCACATTAAGAACTGCTGTGAATATGTCAAATGGAATGAGTGTATTCATTTGAATACTTTCTTGCACTGCAAATTCATTTGCATCTTTTGAGCATTCTTTTATTTCAAAAATTATCAATAAGTCGATAATGGGAGCTATGCAATTTACTGATGAGCTCCAAGTTATAATTGCCAGCTTAAATGAATTAATCGAAGTTAGTTGACTTGCAGATACCCTGTAAATATATCAGTTGTGCACCAAGAACCACACCATTTCTTCATTAATTGTTATTGATCTTTATTTAAGTACTTTATTAAAGAAAATATCAGCAATAAGTAGCAGCATCCTTCTTTCTGGCATTAATTACACTGGGAGATCACTAGAATAATTAGATATATTTAAAAATATATGTATACATATATATTATCTTATTTATTTCAATTATATAGAATATGTATTAATATTAAAATCGCAATTAAATAAATTTTAAATCGAGAAAATATGTTTAGAATATGTTAATTAAATAAATACTTTGAAAATTTAAATTACTCTAAATGCTTATTACTATAATTATTATATATATAAACATATTTGAATATAAATATTATTTTATTTATTTCAATTAAATAAATTATATATAAATATTCAAATCACAATTCGTTTTGCATGCTCAGAAAATAATCAAACAAATTTTAAATCAAGAAAATAAATTTAGAATAACTCAATTAAATAAATACTTGGAAAATTTCACTTGGAATGGTTTCTAAATAATATTTAGCTAATGTTGATCAGGTTAATATTGATATATATGTATATATAATTATAGATATTGTATACCTATGCGTGTCTTATATATGTGCATTCAATTCTAGCACCCACTGTGCCCAGATACTCAGAGACTATTGTTAGTTTGGCACACACTCGGTGCAAATACCTCAACATGGATGCAACATAACACGCAACATGTGCAACAAGCTGAAAAATTGCCAGTTGTAATCAATGCCCGGTTTATCAGGTTTTTCCCTCTAGGTCTTCCCTTCATGCCCCTTGCCACGCCCCTCGTTTCACACGAACCGCGGGGCGCCAAAGCAGAACACACTAAACAAATTTCGTGTATCGAAAAGATTTAGTCATGTTGCGAGCAATTGATTTGGAGGGGTGGTTGTGGCAAGTGGAGCACTGTGCCGGCGGGCGTGGAGGAAGGGGGGGGGGGGGTGGTTAGGCAGTGAGTCGCCATGAAATGGAATGGAACAAAAGGGAGCGCATTGTAAGCGAATGAACATGAAAACTGTATACGAGGTGAGTGATGGAGGGGGAGGGTGATGGGTAGTGGGGGTTGTTGCATTGTCTGCTAGTGCGTGTCGTGTTGCAAACGTGTAGAGTAGAGGGTAGAGGGGCACAAACTAGGGCTGCTCATTTCGAAAATGGAAAGCTGATAACCGTTAATGTTGTCTGCCTTTAGGCGCGTTCTTTTGAGTACCGTTACAATTTCAAAATGTCTGCCAGTCAGCGTTAAAAAAAATGAAATTGATTCTGTCTGATTTATTTGCAAGCCGGCCGGTTTAACCCTGGCGTGCTCTAAATATTTTCTTGGGGCAGGTTCATCTTTACAGCGTTCACAGCTGCTTTTACCGTTACTTGCAGATGCCATCGCTGTTATTGTTGTTGTTCATTCGCACTTCGTTTCGTCGGCTCGTGTTCGTGTTTCGTGCTCATGCTCGTGCTCGTAAATTGCCGCTTGGCGCCTTCGTTAGTTAGTTAGAAATGACATCGCCAAAGTGTCAGCTGCCAGAGCAGTTTGTGGCTTTGAAATGTGGAGCACGGAACACTTAATGGAGACAGAGAGAAAGAGAGAGTGTGCCCGAGAGAGATAGAGAGAGAGAGAGAGTGGTGAGAGGGCGCCGCGTAGGTGCTACTGGAATTTTTATGGCAGCTTGGGCGAAACGTTTTGGCATTTGCGAAACACTGGAAGCGCAAGCTTCCAACGGTTTTATGGCAATAAGCATTTAAGAGAGAGTCTGCTTGTTTATTTAAGAGAGAGAGAGAGAGAGAGAGCTTTGGCTGGAAGCGGCTTAAACTTCTACTGTTTAACAGTAAACAGAATGCTATACAAATTACTTATATTTAGGTATTATTCATAGAAATAAAAACTTTTGTCTGCTAGAAAGTATAATTCAAATATTTAAACAAGTCTTTGTTTCGATATGTTTATTTATTGTTTCTTATTTATTTAATATTTTTATTTCTTTCTACAATTTTCAAATTTAAATAAGATGTGTTTAGCAGTTATTTGCATTTTTTGTAGTGCTCCGCTGTGCGCGCGTGCATCCTTCACAGCTGCTTGCTGTCAAGTGAATGTAAGCTGTGAATTCCTGAGTTGTCTTTCCTTGCATTCACAATTCCAGTTGCTTGGCGCTTCCAGTACTATTTCCATATGTGCAACAGCATTCGGAGCGCCATAAAATGACGATAGAGTGAGAGTGAGAGAGAGAGAGAGAGAGAACGCGAATGCAATTCGCCATAGTCAGTCTCTCTCCGCTCTCCACATTCCAAAACACAACAAACCATTTATTATGAATTGACATGTGTTTTTTTTTACAGCTGCTAGTCTGTATATAATTTTATTAGCTTGTTATCAAAGGATAACATTTTGATTATCAACTGTTAATTTACAGTTAGCAATGGGAATTAACACTCTCAAATCTCAAATTTCATATCTCATGTGTGGAACAATTTGGGAATGGGTCGGCAAAAATCACGAATGCGTCTAACGGCTTTTGCCGGCAACAGAGAAACTCTGTTTTTGTATTTGCTTTTTGTGCTGAGCTTCGTTCGTTTCCAATTGGAAAAGCCTTTGGTTGCTGCTACTGGTGCTGCTGCTGCTGCTGCTGCTGTTGACGTCTCTGTTGGCTGGCAACGCTCGCGTCTCCAACGAGTGCAGCGAATTGGGCGAGCTGTGTGCAGCAGTCGCTTCAGTTTTTCAGTTGCAAACGAACGATTTAAGCGAAAAGTTCGAAAGTTCTCCTGAGTGTTCTCCAAAACGCGTGCGACGACGACGACGACCTACGACAAATCTTTAGCAGCGCGTACCAAATTTGACAACTTGGCCAAAGCCAAAATTGCGTCTAAATCAAATTCATTCGAAACAAATAAATATGTGTATGTCTAATGTTTTCTCTCTTTTTTTTTGGCACTTTATTCCGTTAGTCAGTTAGTCGGTTGTTAAATTTAATTAGCTGGCTGGTTTTAACACTTTGAATCAGCTGTGATTCCATTTCAGTTAAGAGTTTTGGCAGCTTTTGCTTTTGTCGAGAGTTTTGCATTTTAAATCCTGTTCCCGATTATTAACTTTAGCTTGCAAAATGAGAATTTATAAATTATGCATTTGATTTGTGGGAAATGTTGCTAAAAACAATTCCATTTCAGACAACATCTTTTATTTATGCCAACAATTTCAAGTCTTTCGCTCACAAAAATACTCTTTTTGCAGAAATTATTCCAAATGCAATAAATAAGCATTTAACAATATACATCACTATGAAATAAAAATAAAAAAATAAACAAATCAACAAGAAAATCAAATGAAATAATCGTGTGTGCAATTTAACAAAATCAACTTGAATAAAACGACATAAATCAATTAAAAAACAAGTGCGAAAATTTGAGTTTTAATACAAAAAAAGAGATTGAATTGAAACTAGTGCAATTGTCAAACTTCATTCAAATTGGCGGTAAGTTCAACTCTTGTTTATTCTATTTAATCAATTGAAATAAATGCCAGAAATAATATTAAGCTTAAGCTGATTAGTAAATATTTCAATCAGAAGAGATGTGAATTCTCAATCAATTTCAACTAACAACTTCAGCATGTTTCTGATCTCAATTCGAATTTAATTAGTATTAATTGCTCAAAGAAGAAATAGCCAGATATCGATGTATGTGTGTGTGTGTGTTGGCCAAAAGCATTCGGTTTTAAGTGATTCAATTAGTAGAAAATATATATGAGTTTAATTTCAATCACATTAGCAAGCTGTTAGCCAAAATATTAGGTGGAATTACTTGAAAAGAACGTTTATTTTGGACTCTGCCGAGAAAGTCCCAATTAAAATAACTCAAATTATGTATCAGGAAGTCTTAATTTAATGTTTACACATTATCTCTTTGAATTTTGATATGTTTGAAAGTTGAGATTAGATGGGAAATAATTTAGCTATAATTTCGAAGTATTTAATTTATTATACGTTACATGAATTTTAATTAATGTGTATTAAATATAGTATAAATATTATTGAATAAAAGTTTATATTAAATTATTTTAAATTAATAGACAAAAATTATATTAAAAATGTAAAATAAAATATTGCTTATTAATTTAAGATTCAATTTGTAAATATTTATTTCGTTATGAATTACAAATGTAATATTTATTCGTTTTTATATTTATTTAAATACATTTAAATATTTAAGAAACGCTTAAAAATCTTACTTTTAATTCATGAAGAATGTTAACCCAGTAAAAATTAAATTTCATAAGATTGAATGGGTTTTTAGTCAAACAAGAGAAGATTCCATTTAATAAAATATTAAAGTAAGAACAAATTCATACGCATAAATAAACTTATTAATATTATGCTTATTATAGCTAATTTAATTATAATTTAATTTAAATTTAAAATGTATTTATACATCTTTTAACAAAATATAAAGTGAAATGTACAACAAATAAGCACTGTTATTAAAACCTAACAGAAAAAAACACATTTTTATAGGCCCACAAAGCCAAACCTGTATTTACTGAGTCGCCACTTCATTATTCAAATATTAAAATCAAATTTCAACTGATTCGATATGAAAATCCATTTGAATATAAAGTTAAAAAAAAATTATTTACCACAAACAGGAACTAGATAAAAGCATAAACTCCTAATGAAAATACCTGCAACTAAAAGTTGCCAAAGGCGAAAACGAAACGTCAAAAACTATATTGAAATACTTTCAGTACTCAAAGAATGCAAATCATTTTCAACAGAGTTGCGCACAGTAAATGCAAAAAAAGGCAGAATGTCAGAGAGAGAGAGAGAGAGAGAGAGAGAGAAGGGATAGCTCGACGAGAAGATGCTCTGTACAGTGGTATTTAGCTATTAAAATTACTATATGTTTTTGATAATTAAAAACGATCTCATCAATCTTGAATTATTGACAGTTGTTCAAAATGATGACAAGATATATACATATATATATATAGGCTCTATCATTAAAATTGTATCTTAAGTTGCTATCGTTAATCGATTTCTATCGATTTAGGCAACATAGGAAGATAGCGATAAAATAATACTTGTATTCCATAAATGAAGTCTATTTATAAAAATATATATGTAGAAAGCATTTGTCTTTAAAGTGGTAGCTTTAATTGCGATAATTAATCGATTTTTATCGATATTAGGTAAACGTGATAAGAAATCAACTTTATCTGATAAATTAGAACCCAAATTTGAGTTCTATATACAAACATGGCTATATCGACTCGTCTTTGGTCTCGATGAAGAGTATACGCAGTGTAAGTTTTCTTTTGCACAATTTTGCTATAAGCTATATGCCCATTTGTGGTCAGGTTGAGTGTATAAAAACATTTCGTGGCAAAGTTAAACCATTTCCAGTAGGTGAGTCTGTCAATCAGTCAATCAGTCAAACAAACAGCAAAAGCAACAACAGCAGCAACAGCAGCAGAAGCAGCAGCAGAAGCAGAAGCAGCAGCAGAAGCAGCAGCAGCAGCAGAATGCTGACAGATGCTGGCAAAATATGCAATCAGCAAAGAGAAAGTGCGAAAAGTATTTTAATTAAACACAAATACACCTTAAAATGCAGATGCACAAAAAGCACAAAAAATAGGTATAAAATAAATTACTGTTGCCTGCTTTTTGGGGCTTCGTTTTTTAATTGCGGTCCAACATTGGGAAACTACTCGGTCGATGGAGGGGGCAGGGGCGGAAGGAGGGGGGAAGTGGATGTTAAATTACTGTTTTGTGTAAACTGCAGCCTTCGATTGTCATTTATGGCACAGCAGGGGTGGAAAGGGGGGAACTTCACCTGTTTGGACCCTTCAGGTGAAGTGCGAATTGAAGCGGCACTTGAGTGCGGCCAAAGAAAAGCTCGTTGCTCGAGTGGAAAAGCGCTTCAAGTGCGCCACCAGATGGAAAACAAAAATGATGAAAATGATGCAACCAAGCAGGACAATAAGCAACAGCAACAGCAATAGCAACAGCTGCGGCAACAACTACATGCTGCAACTGCCTTTCTTTGTTCCGTGGGATAAGAAGAAGCGAATCACAATAGAAAAATGGGTGGCAAAAGTGAGGAAAATGCTACTGGGAATTATGCGAAGTAGGTGGCTGAGTATCGAACAAAAGGAATAATAATAAGTATATGAAAATGAGGCTGGGATATTGATATGCATATATGGCGGCATCTTAAACGCTTTCCACATTTAACTGGTTTCGCTTTAGATAGTTGCAAGTGAGCTGGAAAATATATATGAGTATATTCAAAATAATGTAAATCTTATTCATTTGTAGGCATATTACTTATATTGATTTCAATAATATTTGTAAGACAGCGCAATCGATATATATAATGAATCTTTGTATTAAAATCGAAGCTATTTTTTGAGTTGACTTAAATAAAATATACGATTTACAGTGAAATAATAAATAAAACGATTTAATTTGACGTTACTTTTGGAAATAAATAATTCTCAGTCAATTCAGCTAATTTAGAATTTAGAATTTCTTTATTGAAAGCTATCTGACAAAGTGATCCGATTTTAATGATGCTTAGATCAAACATGTGGAACATAATCACACGCAAAGCTGCTGAATTTGATAAGGATAGCTTAGAAAAAACAGGCTGTATTGGCTGTATTGGAGCTATAGAATAAAGCAGTCCGATCTGACCAAGTTTGGTGAGGATAGCTTATTAAACAAATCATGTTTTCATAGAGGAACTCCTCTTTCGACTGACCAAATTTCAGTACAATCAATTTTCAGCGTTGACAAAGATCTGTGTTTAAAATAGTGCAAATTTCAAACAAATGCACTAAACGAGAATTTTAATATTAAATTTATTGCATTGTTAACGGGTTGGCTCTAAATAGAAAGACAATAAAGTCAACTGCCAGGCACATTATCCACATCCACACACACCCACACACACACACACATCCACACACACACACACACACACACACAGTCAACCGCTCATAAAACTAAACAGATGAGCGACCTCATCGAGGATATATTCATTGTTGGCGCATTGCATTTTATTGTGCGCTTAAACAACGGCAAACCGAAAGCAAATAAATTTTCATTTTTAGTCTAAATTCGAACGAAAAACGCATAAAAATGTCAGCGCATATTTTAATTAGAACTGCACTGGAAAATGAGGCCAATTTGAAACTTTTTTTTGAGTATCTTTTTGTTTGTTTAAATTGGGATCATCATTTAAAAATTCACATAATTGCAGAAACGGTCTGCAAGTTCATTAGCGATAATTAAATAATGTGGTGAGATTGGCAAAAGTATTAGAAAAATAATAATAGAAGAAGTTTAAATACTCTTTACGAGGCTTTAACTTTGTCAGTTATCTTATTTAGTTATCTTATCTGGCAGAGATCTGTCAAGAATCACAGACTAAATGCAATTTAGTCAGTTAATGAAATATATAATGAAAAATATATTAACTTCAAAAAGTAATTGAAAAAGTAATTAAATCGAATGAGGACTAATAAAATAAGGACAACAATTCCTTATAAGATTTCTATTTTGTGTAGTACATGCTATAATTGTTTGATCTGTTAGATATTAATTAAGCATAATCAGAATTGCAAAAATATTTGTGCAACATTTATATAAATTTTATTAGCTTTAAAATCGCAGTTTAATGAAAATAAAAGTAAATATAAATAAATATTTGAGTGGTTCCACTTTCGATAGATTTGCAGTATTTACATACCTAATGGCATCCGTGTTGTATATATCGTGTCCGCATCGAGGGTATATATATATATATATATATAAATATATATTAAGTATGGAGTAAAATACAAATATTAACTGAAATTTGTGTAGTTGCTTGATTGTTGTTGTTATATTTTTATTGTTGTTGCTGCTGCTGGCGTGTTATAAATATTTCCTGACAATTTGTGGCATTTTTGCATGTCAATAATATTTATTGTTATTATTTCAAAAGCATTAGCGTCGTTGGCCTGAAAGGAGGTGTGGGTGAGGGGGTGGTTATTTGGAAGTGCCCATTCGTGCTTGCAAGCCGCCGCAAAGTATGCCACAAAAATGTGCAATAATTGCTAGGTTCAAGGAGCAGCAGGGCGGTGGGGGTTGGTGGGGCAGGGGTAGGGGTAGTGGTAGGGGTAGTTAGTCGGTTAGGGGTGTGTTAGGAAATTGGGCTGCTTGTTTTGCGCCTCGTAACGACCAATAATTGTTACAAATCGAAAAACAGCGCCTCAAAAATGCCCCATTTTGGCTGTTGTCGTTTTTTGTTGCTGCTCTTGTTATTGTTCTTGTTGTTGTTGTTGTCATTTCTCTTTTATGCTTTGTAATTTTTCACATTTTCCAAAGCGGTTTTCTTTATTTTTTTTACCCCCCGTTTTTGGTTGTTCGCTGCTGCTGCTATTGCTGTCATGTAAATCGATTTGTGGCGTTTGGCACGCGAACTTTTGCAT